GGTGGTATGCCTTCGGAAATAATGTGAGATATGGGGAAAAAAAATGTAGTTGCACATCTATTAAAAGGAAATATGAGTAGAAGAAGGATCAAGCCTAATTCATCAACTTTGAACACATGAACAACATTACAATACATCTGAAAATATGATTTTAAATCTCTAATACCATGTATTTGAAAAATGAAAATAAAAGAGAGAGTTGTGTTGTGGCTTACTTGTTGCCTAGTTGAAGAGTTTGCACAATTTCTTCTATTTTTTTCTTTCCTCTACCACCAAAGCTCTTTTTCTCTTTTTCTCTCCCTCTCCTCTCTTTCTCAGCTGGATATGTAGTGTGTGTGTGTGTTTTGTGCTCAAAGTGTAGAGAGGATTGGTGTATCTATAGAAGAAAAAAAAGAATGGTGAAAAGTCCAAAATGTCCTTAGTTCCAATTCAATTGAATGGCTTTGGATTTAGTTAGGATATAATGGAATGAAGGGTGATTAGAGCTCTAATTGTGTACTTGAACAAGTTCTAGTTAGGGTTATGTTTAATTAGAACTAAGCTAGTTACAAGTACAAGACAAATTTGCTTGAATTATTGTACCAAAGTCAAATTTGCCTTCATGAATCATGCAATGTTGTTTTCAAAAGTACACTACAAGTGTATATGCTAGGGTGGCTGGCCATGTGATATAGATTTGAGGGACTTTTCTCATTTATTTATCTATATACATGTAATAATCCTGACTCGTAATTAGCTACTAATCAATGATTAAAGATGCTAATTGAGTGGATCAAATGAATTATGGGATCAATATGTAAATTGCATGATATTTGGCTTACTATCTGTTACTTGTAGAAATATCTGTCTGGAATTCCGTTTTAATATGTAAATTGAAAGCCTTATCGGCATCCCAAACCGAAATTGACTCCACCAATATGTTATTTGGAATTTTTAGAACCTTATGGCATGTTTTATTAAAAAATCGATTCAGTCTGATTAATTAAGTCATGTTTGGTTAGCCTAATGTTCTAATTAGTGTATTTTAGCATCATAGCTTTATATGTGAGATATAAGCTCATTTGAGCTCATTTGTTTCATCTCCCTTGAGCGAAAAAATCTGAGAATTCATCTTAGAGAGAGAGAGGGTGCAATTTTAGAGAGAGAAAGGTAGAGATTAAGGAGGAATTGAAGGCTATAGCTTGAATTTATCAAAGATTGTGCAAGTACCTAGCTAATTGAAGACTCTAGGTAAGATTACAACCTCTAGATTGTGTAACTAAGTCATTAACATGAAATTTCTTCAAGATTATGAATTTGATGTGTATATTGAGCTTAGAAAGAAGATTTGAGTGGCAATTCATGCATGCATGTACATTTTCTTACAATTGAGCATGATTTCCATGAATCTTCTCTTGTATGTTTGAAATTCATCTTCATTTGGGGAAATCATCAAGTTTCAAGTCATTTTGTGGTGTTTGATCATGTTTTGAGAAGTTTGATACAAGAAAAATTCATGCATGTTGTGTTCATAAACATTCTTGAAGTTTAAGTTGAAATTGTGAGTTTTTAACAAACCCTTGGGCCATGATTTTATGAAATGATCCCAAATTCTTCATGTTTTACAAGTTTACTATGTTATCTTAAGTTTTGGGGCCTAAGAGATGTGTTTTGAAGGTTAGAATTCGAGTTGCAATCTGGAAATTCCAGAATTTGCATCTATGCTCGACCGTGGGAGTTCACGCTCGAGTGACCAATCTGAGTGCGTGCACTCCGCTCGAACGACCAAAAGTCCGCTCGAGCGTGAATTGCGAGCTCCCAGAAGTTTCATGTCTTTTACAGATCGCTCGAGCGAAGGAATGTGCGCTCAAGCAACCATTCACATTTTGCATGTCCTCTCGAGCGAGGAAAGTTACGCTCGAGCGTGGACCTTATTTTCAAAAATTTTGACTAAGTGTTCCAAGGCATGTTTTGGCATCCTCATTGCATCTTAGGCATTCTTAAGTCTTAATTAAGCCATAGTAATGAGGTTATGGATTAAAAACACACTAAGAAAAGAATGTACTAAGTTCCGAGACTGCAAGTGTGTGTGTTTTAGGCATTGTGATAAGAAAGAATAAGAACCAATGTATTGAAAGCTAAGCTTTAATGGCCACTTGAATGTGTAATGATAAGACATGCTTGTGTTATGTATTTTGTGATTGTAGGTCAAGACTCGAGGATTGATTGACCATTGCTGGAACCACTGTGAGTAACGTTATTGTAAAGATACGTTCATATGAATTACGTTCCAAATGAAATATGATAAGTTCTGATTTTTGAAATGATATCTGTTTTCGTAAACGAATATTCCAAGTTTGAAATCTATTATGGCATCCATAGATAGTCTCAAGTCATATGAAAATGCGGGTCCATGACATACGAGTAATTATGAGATCTCGTTAGCCACTTCATTGTGGTGATATGTGTTTAATCAGTATCCAGAACCGATTACTCTAGTCGGAAGACGTTCTGCGATGTGTTCTATAGGATGTACCATTATTATGTTCTGATATGAAAATGATGATGCTCTGGTCTGTTTTCTGCTTATGATATATTCGGATTTCGTTCACTAACCCCTTTACCTTAATGTTATTCATTGGGCTTTAGCTCATTGTGTGTATATATATGTATAGGTGAGCATTCTGGAGCCTGAGCCTGAAGGTTTTTGTCTGGATCTGTGTTTTGTTGTCAGCCAATCATTGTGCCTCACGTGGAGGTTCCCGAAGTGTCCTGTGTTCTAGTTCTGTTGGTCCTATGTATATGTATGACTTAATTTAATTCTGTTGGCTGGTCTTAAAATACTGTTATGTGTGTGGGTATAATGTATGGTTGACTACCGGTTATTGTATATAAAGTTTTTAAATATTCTGTTTCATATAAGTCAGCACAACTCATTGGACAACTATATTTATGTATTTGCTTCCGCTAGCCCCTTAATCTTGTTAATCTGTTCAGAGGCCTTCGGTAGTCCAAGGATTACTGTAGGGGCGAGTTTGGGTCGTGACAATACATATTGTAGATATTTTGAAAAAAGATTATAATGTTGGGGGTTACTTTTATATATAAAGAATGATTTGGGCTCAAAATGTAATTAAAATAAAATGTGTGAATTTGGAATTTATTAGAATATCTATTTCAAGTGTAGTATTAATTAAAATAATGTTAGGAAAAATAATTTGGTTCGAATGATTTTGCTTTAAATTAAAAGACACATAACCGAATGAAAATGATAAAAATCGAAAATTAGGATTTTAAGCTACTAATCTAAAATTTGAGAGTTAAATAATTAATACTAGAGTGTTAGAAATGATTTCTAAGTTATAGGGATCGATTAGGGTTTCTACAGGTTCATTCGTGATACTTTTTTAGCTCTAGGGTTAATTTTGCCAATAAACATGAAACTAAGAGCTTTTATTATAATAATTCAAAAGTAAGGGTCTTGCTAGGATTTATAAAATTTAGAGGTCTCACAAAATGCTAGATGCCCTTATTGTTAATTTTCAAACCAATAATTTACTTTTTTTTTAAAAAAAGGTAAAATACAGTGATTAGTTTTGGAGTTTCAAAAAACATATACATAAATTCTACAAATTTGACGTAATTAAATAAATTTATTTTGTAGTATGGTTACAGTGATTAGAACTAATACAGATGGTGTATGAATATATGAATAAATACGATAAAATATATACTTGAGTGTAAAAGAGATAACAATACCATTTTTTAATTATTGTTGCTAATGAATTATTGATGAAAAGAAAATTAATATTAAATGAATTAAAATTTCAAAAAAAAAAAAATTAATATAATTATGTCAAATTTATAGGGCAATGTATTTTGTTTAAATCTCAAGATGAGGTTAGTGTAATTTATATAAAAAAAGTAAATTACAAATACACCCATGAGATTTGTTTAAAATATGAATTATCTTTTGTAATTTTGAGAATTACATCCCATCTCTTAAAGTTTCTAATTTCATAACAAATGGTTCATTTTAAAAAAAAAATAAATTATCAAGTTAATTAACATTTTTTAAATATATCATAAATTTATTTCAACTAGTAATTTAGGTGATTTTATTATTATGTAGGACATCAGTTATCAATTTTATTTTTTCAGTTAATTCTATTAAATAAAAAATTTGACAAGAAATATTTATAATATTTCAAATCATAAGAGCCAACTTTAAGAATGTATTTGTAATTCACCCAAAAAAAGGACAAATTACAAATACACTCCTTTGGGTTTGCATAAAATACAGATTATCCCTTATAGTTTAAAAAATTACAATTATTCCATTGTAAAAAAAAAATTATTTGATAGAATTAATTAAAAAAATAAAATTGTTAACTACTCTCCTACACAATGATAAAACTACTTGAATTATTAATTAAAATAAATTTATGAGATCATTATAAACTGTTAATTGACTTGATAATTTATTAATAAAATGTACTATTTATTATGAAATTAAAAATTTTAAGGAGTGAGATATAATTTTCAAAACCACATGGTTAAATCGTATTTTAAGCAAATTTGTAATTTAACAAGGAAAATGATTTTTTCCCCGAATTTTGTCCCCTCTAACCCCCGAATGCCCAAAATGACGTCATTTTAGGCCTTTTTTTTTTTTTTTCCCCCTTCTTCTTCTTCTTCTTCTTCTTCTTCTTCTTCATGCAGGTGTAGGTTTGAGACAGAATGAGAGGGAGAGGGAGAGGGAGAGGGAGAGAAAGAGAAAGAGGGAGAGGGAGAGGGAGAGGGAGAGGAAGAGGGAGAGAAAAGAGACCGATCTCGGGGGATTCGGAGGTGGCTTTCGAGCTCCCTAGCACGGCTCATTTAAAAAAAAAAAAAAAAGTATGGTTTGAGTGGCATATTGGTAATTAAAAGAAAAGGAAAGGGTTAATGTTATTTGAGAATAAAGAATGTAGATAACAATTTGAAACGAGTGGCCGTTTTAAAAACGTCAGTACATCATCGAAGTTCAAACCACCTTCCTCCCATCAATGAAACAACAAACAACAACAACGACAACTACCAGATTCAAATCTCTTCTTCTTCTCACTTCTCACCATCACAACAACAGAGAGAGAAAGAGAAAGTTAAAGAGAGAGAAACACATGACTGGAATGGTAATGTTGTCAAAGACTACTAGTGATGGTGGTGCTAAAGTGGACCAAGAACAACACCACCACCACCAAAACAATCTCTCCATTGCTGCGGTTTTCTTAGCTGCACTGAGAAAATCAATGGTCTATTGCAGAGTAGATCGACAAGAAGAAGTTATCTCGGCCGTTCAACATATGGAAATCGGATGGCCCACGAATGTTCAGCACATTGCTCATGTCACATTCGATCGATTCAATGGGTTTCTGGGTCTTCCTGTTGAGTTCGAAGTCGAGATTCCTTGTAGAGTCCCCAGTGCCAGGTTTTTTATTTTATAGCTTGTTTTGATTTTTTGGTTGTTTTATTTTGAAAATGTTGATCTGGGTTTTTGAAATTTCATGTGATGTTTAGATCTCGTGGGAGGGGAGCTTAGATTTAGCTTATCAAGTTGTTTGTTTCCCGAGAAAATGTTGAAAGAAGGGAATAAGTCAAATGTTTGACTCTTTAATTTTCACTATTTGGGATCTTTACTACACAAAATCTCAAGTATATATATTGTTAGATATTAACACTTGTTTGGTTGATTTTTTTTTAAAAAATACAAAAATAATAATAATAATAATAAAATATCTGGTTAAGTTGAGGTTTTAGAACTTATTTTTGATAAATTAAAAATTAATTTGACAAAAACAAACATAAAAAGTATATTTTTGAGTTCTCCAAAAAAAAAAAAAAAATTATCCACCCAAAAAAATATTGAGTTTTTTTTAATTTTTTTAATTTTTTCACCAAACTAGTTTTTAAATTTTTCTTAGAAATTAACACTGTTTCGTTGTGTTTTTGTTTTCTGTTTTGATTTTCTGAAAAATACGATTTTTTTTTTTTTAGCTTATCAAGTTGTTTGTCTTCGGAGAAAATGTTCAAAGAAGTGAAATAAGTTAAATATTTGAGTCTTAAATTTTCACTAGTTGGGATCTTTACTGCACAAAACCTCAGCTACTCTTACTCCCAGAAATTAAATTCCTTTTTGCGCAAAAAGACAATCATAAACTACAATGGTCCAAATTTCTAGTTTGAAATTTCTTGCGATGTTTAGATATCAGAGAGATGCTTAGATTTAGCCTCCGTTTGGGAAGTGAATTAGTTTTTTGATTTTTTAATTTTTTAATTATTTTAGTCTGGAGTTAAAAAGTTTAGTTTGAAATTTTTTTTTTGACTTTTTGATTTTTTTGACTTTTTTTGTGAAAGAAGAGTGTAATGATTATGGATTAGATTTGATGTTTTATTTTTTATAACTAAAATAACTTATTTTATTTTTTTATGACTATTTTAACCCTTAACCCACCAAAACTAAATTCCCAAACTATGCCAAGTTGTTTGTTTTCCGAGAAAAAAAATAAGTAAAATATTTGAATTCTTAAATTTTCACTATCTGGGATCTTTTCCTAGAAAAAACCTCAACCATGTACGGACACTAACTTAGGCCAAGTTTGGCTACAAAGAAAAAAGTGCACTTATTTCATCTTTTTATCTTTTTTGAGTCACATCAATCAACATCTCCTCTCTACTTTTTCTACACATAATACAAAAAAAGTCAAAAAGTGCACTTATTTAGTCTTTCCAAACTAGGCCTTAGTTAACACTATGATATGATTGGTTGTGTTTTTGTTTTTATATTCTGCTTTTATTTTCTGAAAACCAAAAGAAAATTTGGCTGTGTATGATTGGTTGTGTTTTTGTTTTTATATTCTGCTTTTATTTTCTGAAAACCAAAAGAAAATTTGGCTGTGTTCGGTTCTATTCTTCAAATATATTTCCATCTTTTGTTTTGAGTGTCTTATTTATTTAGAATTTTTAAAAATTAATTTTACACCTAACTTTAAAAACTTTTTTCAAGAAAGAAAAATTTAGGCTAATCGGATATTCGTCCGGTTGACCGGAATAGGTTTTTTTTTTAAACAATTGACACCCGTTATTTTTTATATTCTAAATAGAAAAATTTGGAATTTTTTAAATTTTTTTATGAGTTTTAAATAGAATTTTGAGTTGTGTGTTTGGTTATGAGTTGTAATTTTTTATATCAAATATCATATGTCACATCAAAAATTCCTTATTCAATTCAAAACTCTTTTCAAAACTCGTTCACCAAACGAATTTTCCACACTTCAATCATAATTCCAAAACTCACAAACTCAAAATACAACTCTATTCTCAAATCATATTTAGAGAACTTTACCAAATGCTATCTTTGTTTTGCATTTCATTTTAGTGTTTTTAGAAATTTTTCTCAAAAAAAATTGCCAAACAATTTTTTGTATTTTTCAGAAAATTAAAAAAAAAAAAGACCATGAGGTCATGGTTGTCATAATCCCCATCCGGATCATAAAATCTTATATGATTCTACAACCTCAATTGGGTCAAACGATTCGAATCATAAATGATGTAGAATAACATAGGATCCCGATTCTACTTCGATCCCAATCCTAATAATTTTTTTTGTTATTATTTATTTCTTATATATATGCGTATATTTATATAAAATTTTTGACTATTAACTCATTTTTCTAACGTCTTCTCTAATTTATGTATTTATATCAAATTTACCAATTTTCTTTAATCTTTTTAAAATGGAAAATTTGGCCATAAACCCCTTTTAGTTTTTTTTTTTTTAAAGGACCAAAAAAAAAATTTAATACTTTCAAAATCCCCTCATAATTATAAAGTCCTATATGAAGGCCAAAATTTGTTATTTGAATATTTTATTTGATCATTATACCCTCTATTTCTTTTACAACACACTCTCTCTCTTCACCAACTCAACGATTGTTCATCATCTCCACCATCTTCATTGTCTACCGGCATTGCTCATTCTCACTGTTGCCTGGCAACCACCATTTGTACCATCAAACCACCTCCATCTCAGATTTGATACCTACGAACTTGTATTTGAGATCAATAACTTTAGATCTGAGATATAAAAAAAACTTAGATTTGATAGAAAAATAAGAAATCGAGATATTGCAATGAAAAATTAAGAGTTTTTTTTATTTGTTTATTCATAGATGTAAAAGTAAAATTCGACTCTGGTTCGTTCATTTATTATGCACTCTAATTTTTTATAACAGTAAAATTTTACTCTGGTTAACTACATGTTGGTCTGCATAATGACAAAATTTTTATTTTGAATCATAGCAAATTTTATACTCTGATTCAGAGTAAAATTTTAATCTTTTTTTTTATTTTTTATTACAGAGTAAAATTTTATTCTGAATCAGAGTAAAGTTTACTATGATTCAAAGTAAAATTTTACTCTGAAATAAGCTACGAGGATGGCTTTACAAGAGAGTCAGCTATCATGAACTAGAGTAAAATTTTATTGTTCAAAGAACAGAGTATCATGAGAAGAAAAAAGAGAAATAGGGAGACAAAGTTCGAAAATAGAGGATCACAAGAAGAAGAAGAGAGAGAGCATGAACCATCAGAACCACAAAGAGAGAGAGAGTGAAGTATCTCAGATCTCAAGTTAGCGAACCGTCTGAAACCGTCATTTTCTGGCGATGACGACTGTGAATAATCTTAAATCTGAGGTTGTAGATGTGACGAGTGACGGTGGCGATGAAGACGGTAGAGAAAGAGTTCCATGGTGAGCAGTGGTGGCGTTGGTGGAGACCGGCGATGGCACCAATGGAGAGCAACAGTGATAAGAGCGAGACAGAAAGAAAAGAGATTGAGATGAGAGAGAGTGATTGCAATATGATACACACACACACACACACATATATGTATATAGATATAAGGGTATTCTATTAAAATAAAGAAGTTTTAAAATATTAAGGTGTTTTAAAAGGATCCATATAATTTTTGTCATTTTGAAGGACAAATTAGATATTGATGGGTCTATCACCAAATTCCTCTTTTAAAATTATATAACAAAGATTATCATTATCAATAATCCATTAGTCCCTCCCAACGATCCTACCTGATATCCCAATTTTAACAACCTTGCATGAGCTACATTAACATGACATCCAAAATTACACACACACACATATATATATATATATATATTTAAAATATGAGTTTGTAACAAATGCTTGCTTGTGATTCCAATTTTGCAGTGCTAGTGTTTTTGGCGTATCAGCAGAATCGATGCAGTGTTCTTATGATTCAAGAGGCAATAGTGTCCCTACAATCCTCTTACTAATGCAAGAGAGGTTATACTCAAACGGAGGTCTTAAGGTAACAAAAAACAATTTTGCTAAGTGTTTTTGTGGTTCAAATGGGCATTCCAAGCTCTATATAGGTTCATTGTCGGAGTTTTTTTTTTTTTTTTTGCCAAACCAAACCCATGATTTTTTCATACATATTAACCAAGATCAAGTTGTTTTAAACTTATTTTTCAAGCTTACTTTGTTTTAGCTTATAAACATATTTTAAAACACAATTTTAATAAATTTTACAATAAATTAATTGAAGTCGTGTATCCTAAACCACGGCCTTAGTAAAGTTGTGGGTTGAAGTTGTGTATTAGATATATACACAACTTCATAAAGAATAAGTGTACGAATAGAAAAACTGGTAATCGAATTGAACACAGAATGTGTTGATACATTTGTATTTTAATTAGATTTTTAAAAGTGAACAATCCATTCATGTATATTTTTCCGATTTCGTTATCGATTTATGTGTTCGTAGTAGAAGTGCTTCATAAAAAATAGTCTGCCTATGGGGTTTATGTTTAAAATAACAATGTTTTAGGAAATAAGTTGTCAAAGGACTAGGCTTCGGTAAAAAAAAAACTCTCATTATTGGGAAAATTTCAATAAATCGAAGTCCCATAAAATTTTCATTGAAGTCCCATTAATGCATGAATCAGTCCTCTCAACCTAGTGTTGATGGGAATCAATGAAAAGTCGATTTAAAAAACAAAAAAAGGATTGATTTTATATGTTCCCATCATCCTCTGATCTTGAAGGGTTTTCTAACTGTGTTTCTCTGACTTCATTTTTTTTTTCGGCAGGCGGAAGGAATTTTCCGGATAAACCCAGAGAACAGTCAAGAGGAGAAAGTGAGGAGCCAGTTGAACAGAGGCATTGTGCCAGATGGCATTGATGTTCACTGCTTGGCGGGGCTCATCAAAGCCTGGTTCCGAGAGCTTCCTTCGGGTGTGTTAGATGGGCTTTCCCCTGAACAAGTTCTTGAATGTGACGCAGAGGAGGAATCAGTGGAGCTTGTGAAGCGGTTACAACCAACCGAATCAGCATTGCTCAACTGGGCTATTGATCTCATGACTGATGTTGTTGAGCATGAGGAATACAACAAAATGAATGCTAGAAATATCGCCATGGTTTTCGCCCCAAACATGACTCAGGTAAACAAACAAGCCACAAAAAAATTCACACACTAATGCTTCTTTGATTCAAGGTAAAACATTTTTCAATATAATACTTTTTCAAAAAATGTTTCCCGTAGAAACACGCTTTGCTTTGTTTGGTTGTGACCTTAAATGTGTGCTAGTGGTGGTTTTGGGGTGGTGCGTGCTAGTGGGGATGATGGAGGGTGTGGTGGAGGAGGTGGTGGTTGAGAGGTCATACCGGTGGTAGGGTGGTGGTTGAGGGTAGCAGTCGTGGTGGAGGAGTGGAGGTGCTGGTGATGTGGTGATGGTAGGATGGTGACGGTAGTAGTGTAATGACATTAGTAAGACATTCATTTGCAAAACACTTTTCACTTTTAAAAAAAATTCCAAAAATAACTTTATTTTCCGTTGACTACAGAAAATAGTTTCATTACTTTCGTTTTCCATTGTACATAATACAAAAAAAATGTTCAAAAAAATAAGTTTTTCGGTTAAACAAATGGAACGTAACTCAACTTGAGAAACCTTATTGCCTTATGCCAAAGTACTTGGTGTTCCTTAAATAATTTAGCACTTCCTGTCAATTTGAAAGCCATCTCCTTGGCTAAATCCATTATGATCATGTTTTTGCTTATGGGTTTTCTTTCCTCTGATCAGATGTCTGATCCATTGACGGCTCTGATGCACGCGGTTCAAGTGATGAACTTGCTGAAGACTTTGATAACGAAAACGCTAAGAGAGCGTGAAGACGCTGCAACAGGAGGAAACTCACCGATGCTATCTGGTTCGTCTGATCACCAAACTGATGGGGAAATTGATAGCCAGCAAGAAATGGATACGAGCTGCGAATTAAGAGGGCCAATGTCCGAATATGATGAGCACGATGATGCCCAATACAGCAACAGCAGCAGCAGCGGAGATGAGAATGATATCGAGTCATTGAGTGAGATAGAAGAATGTTTCTTGAGACAATTGGATGAGAAAGGTTGTGCCAAAAACCGTTCCCTGGAAGAAGAGTCAATTGGAGATTCACAAAGACAGCACGTGAGTCCCAAAAGTGGTTCTAGCTCTACATCTCATATTGAGTCTGGTATTTCATTGTCGTCTGATAGCAAATTTGGCAGTTCTGGTTCGAGCACGAGCAATGGGGAAGACTCCGGTTCAATTCTGATTGCTGTTGAAGTGAAGGATGATTTGAACACCAAGGATGTTGAGATGGTAGATTTTTCAATGCCCTTGATTGATGTCGTGTAATGGTGTTCTAGTGTGGATGTCCATGTTATGCTGATTTGGGTAAGCACCTCGTTTGCGGATTTTGGGGGTTTTCTTCTAATAGCAATTGTTGTTTTTGTAAATTGAAAGTGCTTTGAGTGTTGCCAATTTGTCATTGTTAATCAGGGGAAGGGGATGGGGATGGGGATGGGGATGGGAGTGGTTTGCTTTGTGGTTTGATCGTGAGTCATTTTTCAGCTCAAGGCCTAGTTTATTATGCTTGTTGTCTGTGATTCACTTGGAAAGGATACCTAACTTTGACATTGTAGATTGGAATGAATGTGTTTGTTCTGTTTCTCTTTCTCTCAAATCCAAATTAAAGATTTGCTACTTTGGCCATTTTAGATAATGATTTGTGTTTGGTATGTAAAACCCCATTTGCAAAAGGTTGAGGATAGTACTGATGACCATTTGGCTCTAAGCTATTTTTTATTTGCCTCTCTTCCTGGACTGTCATACTCATGAGAAAGAAAGGGATATACAAGAAAGATATTAATTGAATAAGCCCAGGAATACATAAATTCTGTCATAAAAAAATCTAGATGCATAGAAAAAACTAAACATAGAATGCACAAATGTGAGACAACATGTTTGCAATTATAGATGTGAATAATTTTTGTCTCACATTTGTGTATTTTTTATTTCATCTTCTCTGTATATATAACACAATTAGTTTGTCATAGAATCAAATGGATGGATAAGATTTTTTTAGGAGTAGGCCTCACTAATAAATTTTAAAAAATCATATTCATTTATATATATTATGCGTTTCATTTTGTGTTTAGTTTCTGTGTTGATAGTCAAATTGTTTACAATTTACTGTTTTGTTCCCTTATAAATATGAATATTTTTGGTAACAACAAAAACAAAAAATAGAAAATTATATTTGAGACACAAACTTGCTTTCCAAGATGAATGAGTCAATCTATATCATTTGTAGAGCAGTATTGCTCCGACTAAAAACTCAGACAAAAAAAAAAAACCTAAAAAAGTCAGTTTGTGATCAAAATTTAATTTTTTATATTGAGATCTACACAAAATAAATCTGGACCACAATAAATTTTTTTGGGGGTTAAAAGTTAATGATTTTGGGATACTTGACAGTCTCTTAAAGTGTACACTAAGAAAAAATTAATAAAAATTTAGATGAAATCACCAAATGAAAACTAGATTTAATGTTGAGAGACCAAATTATTCAATTTAAAATCATAAAGACCAAAGTAAAATTTGAATCAAAATTTAGAAATTAAAAGTGTAATTAACCTTTTATTTGTTTATTTATGAGTTCTTGGTCCCAAACTTTACTATTTATAGAGCTATGAATAACACTATTAACTCGTTAAATTTCTTACAAATCACATTTACGTGGAGAGAAGTTCAAAGTATGAGATCAAATGAGAGAGAGAGAGAAGGTATACAACTTAGGGTTTGTTTGGCAACGTTTACGTTTTCAGTTTATATTTATAAAAATTTTATAAACTGATTTTTGTTTATTTTTTGTTTATTTTTAAAAAAACATAAACTACAAATGCGTTTGGTAATTGATAAAATATTTAAAAAAAATTTAAAATATAAAAAAGAGTAAGAAATGACAAATGGTGGCAAGTGGCGGCAGAAGACGGTGGTGGAAAGTGGTGACGGTGGGTGGATGGGTGACAGTGGCGGGTGGTGGGTGGTAGCGAGTGGGTGGTGGTGGCGGGTGGTGGTGGCAAGTGGGTGACGGATGGCAGGTGGTGGCGGGTGGGTGGTGGGTGGTAGCGAGTAGGTGGTATAACATTTACTATGTTATCACTAGAATTTATAATTTTTTTTTTTTTTTTTTTTTTTCATTTGACCTTTCAAGTGTCACATGACATTTTATGTTAAAGAATTTGATGACGACTGTCAACTGGACCACATTGACAAAAATTCAATAGTTCAAGGAAAATAAAAATTAAAAAAAATCTAAAACCTTGATGCTTTTGTGTGCAAACTGTAATTTATCCAACTTTATACCTTTGTCCATGAGTATGGGTTCAATACAAATGTTGGAATGTGCCCATTGGAATTTCCAGAGTCAAAAGCTAATGGACCTACACATTGATGAAAAAAATATATATATTAAGTTCTTCTTAGAAAAGTCACATTGTCACATAGCATTTTTATTAGGGGAAAAAAAATCAGAAAATATTTTTTTATGGTTAGCTGCAACCTCGAAACTAATACATCAGTGGTGGTCTTAGTTGTGGTCGTTAGGTGGAGGAACATGTAGTGGGGTGGTGAGTGGTGGTGGTAGGGGTGGGTGGTGGCGGCGGAAGATGGTGGTGGAAAATGGTGGAGAGTGGTGGCTAGTGTTGGGTGGTAAAAAAAAAAAAAACTCAAAACGGAAACACTTTTTTTGAGTTTACATTTTTTGGCCAATATAAACTGAGACCACTGATTTATAAATCAAAAATTTTACCAAACAAGTTTTTATTTGAGTTTTTAAATTTTTGTAAATATAAACAGAAAATTAAAAATGTAAGTGTTTCCAAACGACACCTTACTATTTTTTTCCCTTATAAATATGAATATTTTTGGTAACAACAAAAACAAAGAAACAGAAAAATATATTTGTAGAGCAGTATTGCTATGACTAAAAACTCAGACAAAAAAAATACCCAAAAAAAATTAGTTTGTGATCAAAATTTAATTTTTTATATTGAGATCTACACAAAATAAATCTGGACCATAATAAATTTTTGAGTTAATTATCTGAAAGTGCTATTTACAAATATTATGGTAGCTTAGGTTCTATTTAAGAATTTTTGAATTAATAAGTAATATTTATAAAATTGAGAATATTAGTTTTTACCAATTTTTAAAATTAAAAACATTATCAATTTTGCATAGTAATGCTCTATCTAATTGTTTCACTAACTGATAAAAAAACAAAGTATGAGATTAAACATTTTTGTCTTTCTACTTATTGGTTTGATTTAATTATCCAATAAAACCGAGAATATTATCAATTTTTTTCATTTTTAAAGTTGTTTATTTATTTTTCAATTTTGCACATCAATGTTCCATCATCATGCTCCTTTATAGACACAAAATTTTTAGTTTTGAATAAAAAAATAATTTAGTTTTTTTTTTCACGTAATTTTTTTTAGTTTTTTCAATTTGAAAGTTGATATTTTAAAGTTTTGAAAATTAAAATAAATGTCAAATCATCTTGTTCTTTTATAGATAATCATAAATGATAAGCAATTATTGTTTAAAAGACAATTTTAATTTTTAAAAATTTAATGGGGACTTGAAAGTCAAAAAAATCTTAATTAAGACTTGCGTGTAAATGTCCCTAAATTTTTTGGGAGGGATAAAATTAATGATTTTAGAATACTTGATAGTCTCTTAAAGTGTACACTATGGAAAAATTTGGATGAAATCACCAAATGAAAACTAAATTTAAAGTTGAGAGACCAAATTATTCAATTTAAAATCATAAAGACCAAATTATAATTTGAATCAAAATTTAAAAATTAAAAGTGTAATTAACCTTTTAAAATATGAGTTCTTGGTCCCAAACTTTACTACTTATACAGCTGTGAACAACACAATTACTTGTTAAATTTCTTACAAATCACATTTACATGGAGAGAAGTTCAAAGTATGAGATCAAATGAGAGAGAGAGAGGAGGTATACATCATTGGAACACAAACATCTCGGAGAACATTCAATTCTACGGAGGGTTCAGTATATCCACAATTGCTTCGCATTCACTATGTTTGAAACTGTTAGCTCGTCTTGAGCAATGGAATTTTGCTCAAAAAAAATTAAAAATAGAGGACAAAAGCTGAGTTTTTCTTTCAAATGCATGTTGTTTTCAAACAAAATTCATTAAATTCAAACAATTTTCAACTTGTTTCCTCAACCCAATTTGTTTCATGAAATTATGTTTTCAAAAGAAACAATTTTAAAGTTGGAATCATATTTTCATAACAAATATAGAAAAATGAGTACCGACTTTAAAAATATATCTGAAATTGTTTTTTAAATACGCGAAGTTAAACTTAAAATCGTATTTTAAAAATACAATTTTATAAAACAATCTGAGTTTGAAAAATAAATTTAAAATTATTTTGATTAAAAATTTTGTTTGAAAATCACTTGTAATTTCGTAAAGAAAAACTCAGACAAAAAGCTGCAGGAAAATTGGTTAGCCAAAAGGTGACTTTGAGTCTCAATTCTACAAAGAAAGAAAGAAAGAAAAAAAAAATGACATACTCAAGAGGCCAAACAAGCCTCCCAGAAAAGCCTGTTCTTTTCCATCTCATTCATCAACTCCATATTTGAATCAACACTTGATTTCTTGTGTAATCCAGCTTTAGCAGTGCTGCTCAGCCCCACTTGATCATCATCATCATTGTCATCATCAGTCCAATCTTGATCAATCACTTCACCCTCATCATCATCATCATCAAAATGAAGATCTTGATCATGGGCATTTCCTAGATGATCATAATCAAACTCGGGTCCACAATAGTCCAGCAAATCACAGCTGCATGATTGAGCATCATCATCATCATCATCAGCATCATGGTCTGCAGCTACATCCATGTTGAGCTCAGAATCGACCTCTGAATCGCCTGTGGCCTCAAGGAGCATGAAAGAAGATACATCAACAACATTCATTTCATCCATTATTCAATTCACGAGAGAGAGAGAGAGAGAGACAATTAATAGAATTGATTGATTATTTGTAGTGGAACCTTCTTATCTCCAAATACATAATCATGTTTATTTATATATACATGTTCAAGACTTAACTTATTAGATATAACTTTATTATTTTTATGGGTTTGACAGCCCTCAAATTATTATGTCAACCATGATATCATCAACATGGCCAGATAAATATTTTAATTATAAAAGAAAAAATAATTTTATTATATATATCATTAACACATTTAGATAAATATTTCAATTATAAAGGGTGTAAAGTTTAAATGTTGAAACTGACTCATCGAAAACTTAAATTCGTAGTAATTTTATTATTGAGAAAATTACATTTTGTCTCTCAAATTATTACTCAAAAATCAATTCAATTCACATTTTTCAATTATATCAATTTTACACAAACTATTTGATTTTGAATCAATTTTACACCGCCATAAGATGCCATCAATCAAACATAATTTGGTAACATGATGCCAAATTTTATTTGAAACTTCATTTTACCTCCAAACTATCTCTAAAAAATCAATTAGACCCCTGAATATAAAAAAAATTAAAATTTTAAATTTTTATCTCAAAAATGAGAAAAATAAAATTTAAATAATATACTTTACAAAAAAAATATTTGAAAAAATATATAAATTAAACTTATTTAAAATTGTCTCTTTAAATCTCAAATTACCTTGAGTTGGTTCTAGAGAAACTAGTTGAGCCAAAAATTCCTACACTACTCTCTCTCTCTCTCACACGTGCGCGCGCAGCAATTGTAGCTAGCTTATTTTACAAATTAATCTCAACAAAAATAATCGACTAGTAGTAGTTTCAAAATTGTGATGGTAAAACCTTAAAACTAAATAGATTATAGTCAGTTTGGTATATGAAGTGAGAAAAGAAATGAGAAATGAGTGTGTGTGTTTTCGCTATCATGTTTAAATGAATAAGAAAACACAACATGTGAGAGATTAATATGACTTTCTTTGTATTTTAATGGACAATTTGGGTAGTATGAAAATTTTATAACCAATAAATTTGTTTGTAATTAAATCTCACCAATTTTTTTTGATAAGAAATGAAATAGGTAAAATAAGATAGTGATTCCGAACAATTGCTCAAGTGGTCATGGAGAATGCACCTAAGCGTTAAAAGGAGTAAGGTTTCAAATTTGAGTCTATAAAGAAACGTTGATATATGTTATAATCTAATTACTAATATACTAGTAGCTGTATTGTGAAAAAAAATAATAATAATAAATGTATAGTCTAAAAGGTCCTTAGAATTAATCGATCTAATAAATTAAATAGTGAATTATCAAAATAAATAAATAATACCCTCCATTTTAGATGTAGATGGCAGGGAAGCCAGAATTATTACATATGAAAGAAAGAAAAAAAAAAGTAAAGTGGGTTGCCTTCTTTGACAGTAAAATGATGAGGTGGGCTAGCTAACAAGCTTGGGCTCTTCCGGCCGACAAATTTTATGCATTGAAATTTAGAGACTTTTATTATAATAATAATTAATATTAAATAAGATAATGGAAATTTGAAAAGACTGTCAAAAGAGTCTCAAAGCCATGTGCCAGATCTCTTCTAGAAGGAGTATAGTATATATGTATATATTCTATATACTCCCATTGGATTACATACAATCAATCATCATCAGACGACATATTCTTCTAGAAGAAAAGCTGCACCTCTTTTACTTATCTACTTCTTGTCACGTCTTCTAATTTTTTACTCGATTGATTATTAGGCGGTATTTGAATACGTTTGGAGTGTGTTGTCCAGGGTTATGGTCCATGTCCAATTTTGATTATTTGAATTTTTTTTTTAATTTTGTGTGTATATATATATTTTTTAAATTAAATGAATTTGATATTCATAATTTTTTTATTTTATTGAGTTTGTATTTAAAAATAATTAATGGTCAGTGTATTTTTAAAAATTGATCATTTATTTATTTATTTATTTGTACATGTACGGGGAGCAAATATTCCGGCGTGCCCGTATTCCTTTCTTCCGAGCTCCGTCGATATCCGATCACCTGCGAGCAAATACATAAATCAGCCTCTCAGTACAAATAAAAAAATAAAATGAATGAGTTATAAATATCGAATCGATTTAAATTTTTTTTATAGATGATATATATATATATATATATATATCTATCTATTAAGTCCGATAAAATGAACGATTTAAATGATCGAAATAAGATTCATAGTAGACCTTTCGAACTTGAACAACGCCCTCTAATCTAGATGATGACCCTGTTTGGTAGAGCTGTGAGAAAGTGCTTATAGCTTATACCTTAATGGCTTATAGCTTATAACTATGAACATAAACTGATTTCTGACTTATAAATTAAGCTTCTCCTGTCCCACTTAAAGAATAAGTTGATTTCTGACTTACAAAAAGTTATAAGCTGTATTGTTAAGCTAAGCCAAATACATCAAAATAACTTAAATTAAGCTGAAAACTAAAATAAGCTGTACCAAATAGGGCCGATGGATTGAAAAAAACCCAACCTGTGGGAATAATATTTCTGACCATTCAACACATGACTTGTATCCCATAAACCAAACAAAAAGTATTAAATTTTAGTCTGTTAATTAATAAAAATCAAGTTAGCACTTCATGAGTATTTATCTCAAGACAACCAAAGAATTTTATTTTTTATTAAAGGAAATCATCATTTATATTCAGGATCACAGTAATTACTTTTTCAATTATTTTATTAATTTATTTTTTTTTTTGATGGGACAATTTGGATTAGAATTGAAGAATGTTAGAAATTTGGAATTTAGAAATTTATAATTCACTCACAATGATATAATAATGAAATTAAGTCTTACATAATTGAATTAATAACAAATTAAAAATTGACAATTTTGTTATGCCTTTATGACTACAATTTGAGAAGATTATATTTAGGAATCTCAATATTTTCCTAATTTAAATTATTCAAATTGTGATTATTTTTTTGTTAAAGTTATCCTCTTTGTTAATTTATATATGGTATATATTTCTAGATATATTAGGTATTGATTTATTAGATATATCTGTATTGTCATAATTAGATTTCTTGTAGGATTCATTTTCTCATAATTAGATTTTTTTGTAGGATATTCTTTCTTAACCTCTATATATATATATATATATATATGCTTTCTATTGTATAAGATTAATTTATTGAATAGAATATATATTTTTCCCCTCTCTCTCTCTCTACTAGTATAACACTCTTAACATTTTTTTTTGGTAAAATTATTAATAATATCAAAATAAATATTTTAAGTATGAAAGATAGAGAGAAAATAAATGAGAATTAAGAATTTGATGAGTTGTTGCAATGGTCTTTTTTATTTCTAATTGACAAACAAAAAAAGATTAGGCTTCTCTCAAATTTAATGACTAAAATATTTATATATATATATATATATTTATATAATTTTACTTGACAAAAATAAGTAGATAATTTAAATTGTAAACAAATTAAAATATTAGAGTTTAAATTAATAAATTTAAAATTCATAATTTATTTTGTTATGAAATTTAAATCATAATTATTATTTTTTTTCAAAATAATTTCTATTATATATTATCAAAATTTAAAAAATTTGGAACTGTTGAATTGACGCAATTGTTGAACTTACAACGGTAGTCCGAGTAAAACCGCCACGTGACCAGCTCTGACAAACTCGGGGCACCGGCAGTGGCGGAGGCAGAAGGGACGCGGGCGTCACGTGCCCCTTGAATTTTGGAAATTTTTTTTTTTTTTTTTTACAAATAAAAAGAAAAAGGATGATTATTGATTTAATGGTTAAGATTTGACCTAATAATCTTAAGATTATGGGTTCAAATCTTGGGATCACCACTTTGTGTATTATATCAAGGTTAGGTGTGTACTCAATTTTTCTCTTCCAAACACACATTAATGTGTACTAATTAGACGTTTTTATTGTTGTTTAATTGCAAATATAAACAAAATATTTTAAATAAAAAAAATTACAAAGTATTATTAGAGTGAAATGTCAATGACATTTTAAAAATTATGAGAACAATAATGGTTGTTTTGAATGAAAATGAAGAGACTATTATAAATCATATCATCTATGAAAATTTTTGAATGTAACGGTGATATTATTATTATTGACATGCAAGTATAACTAATCACACTATAAAGATATGAAATTTGTTAGATTGTTAGTTATATCTGACATGTAAAGTTCACTCTCTATATATTTATTTACTATTAGTTGGTAATATCACATACTAATGATGACGTGATATTACCATTTTATTGAATTTTTAATCAAATTTTGTATAATTTTTTTTATCATTATATAATTTATTTTAAGACTTATATCCATATTTTTTTATATTATCCATGATATACTAGTTATAAATAATATTTTTTTTTATGCTCCTCGAAATTAATCGTAAAAGCTTGCACTAAAAATTTTTATAAAATTTTTCAATAATATAATTAATAAGTATTTCATCTAATTTAATTTTCTAGCTCCGCCATTGAGCACCGATCTCCATCGATTTATCTACTTTCATTCAACATTTTGAATGGTTCCTCATTTTGAGTGATATGCGGCGAACCACTTTACAATTTCTAAAATTGTATAACGTGAACTATGATCAATTAGGCGATTGGTCTAGTCCTTATGTGCTGTTTTTCTTGATATAAAATTGTAAGTTTAGAAGAGTTTGGTATTTTTTATTTCTCGTTCAATAAAATAGATTCAATCACTCTTAACTTGATGATTTGTGTCGTGTCTATTATAAAGCAATCACAACTTCTTGTTCTAGATTAAAAAATATTGCTACTCATCCAAAAAAATCTACAATTCTTTTCCAATCTCATGAAACAAGATTTGAAATAATGATACCCAAAGTAGTAGGGTAGAAAGGCGTATTAAAATCTAATGTTGAATTACCAATTATCAATACATAAACTCAAACAAATCCTAAACAATCATATAAAAAATCTAAATGGATCTATTATATTACAATTCCAAGGATCACGATCCGTACGATCTTCATCATTGCAATCTTCTACCTCTACTTGAAACTCAAT